CCCCTGCCCAGCCTGTCCCCTGCCCAGCCTGGCCACCCTGTCCCCTGCCCACCCTGTCCCCTGGCCAGCCTGGCCACCAGCCCTTACCGTTGTAGGAGAGGCGAGGTTTGCTCAGACACATGATAAAGTGCATTTCCATCTCGTCAGAAGCCACAGATTTGGAGCAAATGGGGCACTTGAAACCTGGAGGAGAAGCAGAAAGATAAAAGAGACTGAAGGTCCATCCTGCATCCTGGCCAAGTCCCCAAGGCCAGGGCAGCCCCCTCACCTGCCTGCATGGTGCCCCGCCCCCCAGCCCCCCACGCAGTGCCCACTCATCCTGTGCTGGCTGCCAGCAGCCTTGGGGACAGCCACCCAAAGAGGGGACAGCCACCCCAAGAGGGGACAGCCACCCAAAGAGGGGACAGCCACCCGAGCCGGTCGTCCCCGTGGGGCGCAGAGGGCACGGAGAAGATGCCAAGGCAGAGCACACGTGGCCATCAGCTGCTGCTGGGCCTTAAAGGGCGAGGAGCAGCCCGGGTATCACAGCACCCTGTGGCTGGCAAGTGCAGGGGCACGTCCCCATCCCAGGACAGTGCTCTCCTTCCAGGACAGTGCTCTCCTTCCAGGACTGAGGCAGAAAAGCTGCAAGGAAGGAGGTTTTTCCATAGGGCAGAGGCAGAGGACAGGCAGGTTTGTGGTGCTTTCTCCTGCTTTTTTTTTTGCCAGAAGGAGAAGGGTGCTGGCCACCCCAAGGCCTGCAGAGAGCCTCAGGAGCAGGGGGATCCCACAGGATGATGTCTCAGCTTGACCTTGGCCCTGCCTTGTCATCTGGACCTGCCTGGTGACCTGGACTCTTGGGCAAAGCTGGCTGTGTTGTCCAGACCTGCTCTGCATCTTTGCTTGGACATGAGGAGGAAATTCTTCAGCACGAGGATGGTGAGAGCCTGGCCCAGGTTGCCCAGGGAAGCTGTGGCTGCCCCATCCCTGGCAGTGTTGAAGGGCAGGTTGGATGGGGCTTGGAGCAACCTGGGCTGGTGGGAGGTGTCCCTGCCCATGCAGGGGGTTGGAACTAGATGATCTCAAAGGTCCCTTCCAACTCAAACCAGTCTGGGATTCTATCATGAGGTGCCAGGTGGCACCAGTGCCACCACTCACTCCAGCCCCAGGCCCCCCCACCCACCCCAGCCACACAGCCCACCACGTCCCCAGCACCCCCCAGCCAGGCTGCCCCAAACCTGGGCTCCCAAGCCCCAAACTCCCAGGAACAAACCCCCAGGCAGCCCTGCAGGACCCCCTACCAGCCCACCATGGCCAGCTCGAGGCCCTGCCTTTTGCCACCACCCAGCACAGCAGGGCTCAAGCCAAACAAGCAGGTGCCACCACTGTCACCACGGGTTTGCACCAGAACATCCAGCAATTCCCTGCCTGCAGAGGGTAATTTAAGGACCTGTCTTCTAGAAGCAGATCAGGTTTGACTTCAGTGCTGCTCGAGAGCTTTCTTCATATATATGCAAAGGCTGCTCAGGGAGGAAGAGAAAAGGGACATATGTGAATTATCTGAGGATGAATCAGGTTCTTGTTTGCCACCACGTGGATGTGGTGAGGGCATTTTTTTTTTGCTTCTTGGAAGGGAGAAATTGCTGGTGACTTTAACAGAGGCAGCACAGGTAACTGCTGACACCTGAGCACCCTCCCCTGAGCAGTGGTGATAAATACCCATCACTTTGCAGCTGTCCAGGGGGAAGCCTAGAACAGGGATGCCAACTCCTGCCCCTCCAGAGGGTGGTTATTTCCCAGGAGGGCACAGCAAGGACGAGCACCACGGATGGGTGGGGGAACTAGCTTTAAAGGGTCCTGCTCAAACCAGGAGCCCCCAAGCCCAGGGACCACCTCTAGCAGGTTGCCAAGCCTGCAGTGCCACCCCAGGGACACACCACTGCTGGGACGAGCCACGGGGTCCCCACTCTGAGTCCAGCCCCACTGGCATCAAGCCCTGGCCAAAAGGGCAAGGCTGGCAGGCAGCAGCCCCCATCTGCCACCTCCTCCTCCCCTCCAGCCTAATTTTACTCCTGACCAATTTATACCTCCTGGCAGCAGTTACCCATCAGCTGAAAAGAGCTGGGTGGTTGGTTTTTTTTCTCCCTCCTCCCAAGTGTTTACCCTCCCTGGGTATTTATAGAGCAGGCTCAGATAGCCTCACCCCCCCCCTGCCTTCTGCAAGGTCCAACCAGCCTCCCCTTTGCCAAGGCACCTTCCCCAGCTCCCCTGGCACAGCTTCCCACCCCTGTCCCTGCCTGAACCCATCCTGCTGGAGCACCCGCTGCCCGGGAACTGCTGCAGGCACCGCTTGCCAGCAGCAATTCCCTAGCATGGGAAAAAAAGCTCCCTTTGGGAAAGGTGGTTCAGCTGGGAACTCCCAAGGCGTTTGCAGAGGTTCGGTACCGTCCCCCCCACCCACCCAGCGGGCAAGACCTGCTTTTCTCAGGCTCCCCCCGCCCCTTT